GTAACAACTCATTTTAAGAACCAAGGTCAATTTGTCCTCCAGTAATCTAAGCCTATGGCAGCATAACAAGCCAACCCTTGCTATAGGATTTATCAAAAAGGAAAGTCTTAAGCCCAGTCTTAAACTGGACAATGTGTCAGTCTCACAGACAGAAACTGGAAGTTGGTTCCACAAAAGAGGAGCCTGATAACTGAAAGATCTTCCTCCCATTCTGCTTTTGAAAATTCTAGGAACCGCGAGTAAACCCGCAGTCTGAGAGTGAAGTGCTCTGTTTGGAAAATATGGAACAATAACATCTGTGATATAAGATGGTGCTAGGTTGTTGAGGGCTTTGTACAAACCGGATTCCAAAAAAGTTGGGACACTAAACAAATTGTGAATAAAAACTGAATGCAATGACGTGGAAGTGCCAACATCTAATATTTTATTCAGAATAGAACACAAATCACAGATCAAAAGTTTAAACTGAGAGAATGTATCATTTTAAGGGAAAATCTGTTGTTTCCAAATTTCATGGCGTCAACAAATTCCAAAAAAGTTGGGACAAGTCCATTTTTACCACTGTGTGGCATCCCCCCTTCTTCTTACAACACTCAACAGACGTCTGGGGACAGAGGAGACCAGTTTCTCAAGTTTAGAAATAGGAATGCTCTCCCATTCATGTCTAATACAGGCCTCTAACTGTTCAATCGTCTTGGGCCTTCTTTGTCTCACCTTCCTCTTTATAATGCGCCAAATGTTCTCTATAGGTGAAAGATCTGGACTGCAGGCTGGCCATTTCAATACCCGAATCCTTCTCCTACGTAGCCATGATGTTGTGATTGCTGCAGAATGTGGTCTGGCATTATCGTGTGGAAAAATGCAGGGTCTTCCCTGAAAGAGATGACGTCTAGATGGGAGCATATGTTGTTCTAGAACCTGAACATAGTTCTCTGCATTAATGGTGCCTTTCCAGACATGCAAGCTGCCCATGCCACAAGCGCTCATGCAACCCCATACCATCAGTGATGCAGGCTTCTGAACGGAGCGTTGATAAAAACTTGGGCTATCCTTTTCCTCTCTGGTCCGGATGACATGGCGTCCCAGTGTTCCCTAAAGAACTTCAAATTGTGACTCATCTGACCACAGAACAGTCTTCCATTTTAAATGACCCCTGGCCCAGTGCAAACGTCTGAGCTTGTGGAGCTTGCTTAGAAATGGCTTCCTCTTTGCACTGTAGAGTTTCAGCTGGCAACGGCAGATGGCACGGTGGATTGTGTTCACTGACAATGCTTTCTGGAAGTATTCCTGAGCCCATTCTGTTATTTCCTTGACAGTGGCATTCCTGTTTGAGGTGCAGTGACATTTAAGGGTCCGGAGATCACGAGCATCCAGTAGAGTTTTACAGCCATGACTCTTACGCACAGCAATTGTTCCAGATTCTCTGAATCTTTTGATATTGTTATGCACGGTTGATGATGATAACTTAAAAGTCTTTGCTATTTATATATATATATATATATTAAATAAAGGTTGATTGATTTTACGCTGGGTAACACCATTCTGGTATTGCTGCACTATCTTTCTGCACAACAATGGTGGAATTGGTGATTCTCTTACCATCTTCGCTTCTGAGAGACACTGACACTCTGAGAAGCTCTTTTTATACACAATCATGTTGTCAATTGACCTAATTAATGTTAATTGGTCTTCCAGCTGTTTGTTATATGCTCAATTTCCTTTTTCCAGCCACTTATTGCTACTTGTCCCAACTTTTTGGGGATTTGTTGACACTGTGAAATTTTGAATCAACATATTTTTCCTTTAAAATGTTACATTTACTCAGATTAAACTTTTGATCTGTCATCTATGTTATATTACGAATAAAATATTGACATTTGCCATCTCCACATCATTGCAATCAGTTTTTATTCACAATTTGTCCCAACTTTTTTGGAATCCGGTTTGTAAGTTAGGAATAAGATTTTGAATTTGATTCTAAATTTGACAGGGAGCCAATGTAGAGAAGCTAAAACTGGAGAGATATGATCTCTCCTACTAACACTAGTTAAGACTGTGGCAGCAGCATATTGGATCAACTGAAGACTTTTTAAAAGAAGTATTTGGACACCCAGATAATAAACCATAAGCAAGTCACAGTACACAAAAACACTTCCTTTTCATATTATGGCCTCACATCTGATAATCACTTGGTGGTATTTGTACTAATTTAACAAACAATATGGTGGAACCACCGGCATGTTTACATGGTAACTTTTAATAAACTGAAAAGTACATCTACAAGATTGCTTCACCATCTAACACTCATATGAAATATAAATAAATACACATCCCAAAAACTGTTTAGGTCTAAAGAACAGTTATCCGTTTGTCATTTAGAAATGATTCTCCTTCAGAGCGTTGCCAGCCTGTCGAGCAGTAGACTGCACTGCCACTCTATATTAGAGGGACTTTTTCCTTCCTCATCATTCATGTGGAAAAGGCTTGCACCACCAGCTACCCTTTCTTTTATTCATCGCACTGTAAATAACTCCACTTTATGAAAAGCAGCCAGTGTGACTCACGGATACCTCTCTAACCACAGCCCATTATTATTTCATGGCCTTTGAAAGAAGGGTCTATAGCAGGCGCTCTTCCACTTTAATGTCGGAGCTCCCTCTGATGTTGTGTAGTACACAGCGGCCCTTGTTGCGCTCCGTATGCACTCCCTCACTTGAATTCACAAACACTTCCAAGTGCATAAATAGCATGGAAGACAAGTGCCTTGCGAGCTAGCTAATGCTCTGGAACGCCATTGTTGAGGAGATAACAGGAGCCTGCCATAGTTGATGCCTGATAAGAGTCTTTGGGGGTGAAGAGAAAGACAAGTGCACCTTTCTAAAAATCGCTATTGTTTTCCGACCCTCTCATGGGACATCATATAACACAAGAACAAGCATCAGTGTTACGATTAAATGACCAGCGGACGTGATTCGAAGGCTCCCACAGTGTCTCTTGGCGGAGCATCCTTTGGAACGTGTAGAAAGCTCTCGGCATACAGACGAGCTAATGGGGAACCCATTGGTCATGGTAGATTCAGTTTGAATCTCAATGAGTGTGTCAGTGTGTGTGTGCGGTCACTCCATGACCGACAAGGTGTGGTAGGTCTGCTGGAGTTGATTTAGCCACGCTGCCCGTCAGCGTCCATCAATCGAACCGATGAAAAGCTTGTTTCTTTATCCTTTAAGTGCCAAAGAGGAACCGATGTAAAATGAAACGTGTCTGATGCAATTCCACGTCTTTGTTTCCTCTACATGAATATACGAAGCCCAACAAAACGCTGTGCCTGAAATCTTTATTTTCGATGCGATTTTCTTCAAAATCACGAGCTGTTATGAAAGAATCAAATAGTTTTATCTTATGTAGAATAATTGGTCTTTAGTTTGTTTTTCAAAGTTACGGGATGTAAGGAAATGTTGACATGTTTAAAAATGCTTGTGTGTGTGTGTGAAATTATCCCATTATCATCATCATGTTATGATAACACAAGTCATTTAGTAATAACTGTGGAACTTCCATCTTTAAACAAAAAAGATTGGTACATTTAATTATATCAACCTAATTATTTTCACAATAACAGATCTTGAAATCCCAGCAAAACCAAGTTATAAATCATAGACATGGCTGTTGTACTTCAATTCAATTCAATTCAGTTCAGTTTATTTCTATAGTGCCAAGTCACATAATCATCTCAGGGCTCTGAACAGAAACATTCATATACATAAAAAGTTAACTATTTATTTGAGGAGTAGACTGCTTCGAGTTTAACTTCATCGCAGACTCTCATGTTGAGCAAGCAAGAAGGCGACAGTGGAAAGGAAAAACTCCCTCAAGAGGAAGAAACCTTTAGCAGAACCAGGTTCAAGTGACCATCTGCTTCGTCTTCATCCTAAAGTGCCATCAATGATACAGAACGATGAAATTGGGTTGATGGCGAGCATCCTGCTGCACTCAGATCATCATCGCAAGAAAAATTAATTTGTGTCTTAAGAAAACAAATGTTGTACTTCTCTAGAGAAGCTAAACATAGCGTGGGTATCACAAGACACCAGAACTTGCAAATCACTATCTTGAGAAAATCGTGTAAATTTCATAACGGCAGGCAAAGTTGTCCTCGTTTTGTTTTTTGGCATCCATCCTTCCATCGTCTTTACCCGCTTCTTCCTTTTTGGGCCAGAGGGGTCACTGGCGTCCATGTCCAGCCATCATTGTTCGAGAGGCGGGGTACACCCTGGACAGGTCGCAAGTCCATCACAGGGTCATATAGAGACAAACGAGACAAACAACCTGCTCGCTGAGAGGCGGCAGCTCTACCAACTGTGCCACCGTGCTGCCTGTTTTTATTTCTTTTCATTTTAAATGAATTTCTAGGCATGAGAAAAAGTTTTAGGTTAAAAAAAAACAAACAAACAAACAAAAAAAAACCTAAACATCCAAAAATGTCCAGTCAGGTCATCTGGACAGTTCCTTTTTTTTGTTAAGAGACGTTTCGCTCTCCATCCGAAGGGCTTCATCAATCTGATAAGTCGCATGCAAACTGTTTACCCACCAAGCAGTACATTGCTACAGTGGACCAATCAGTTTGCTGGTGATAAGAGGGTTTCTGACTGATAAAGTCCTTCGGATGGAGGGCAAAACGTCTCAACAACAACAAAAAAAAAAGGAACTGTGCAGATGACCTGACTGAACATTGTTGGATTCCTTTACCTGGATTATTGAGCATGAACTTTGATGAACTACTAGAAAAGAAGCTTTTGTGATGGCACAATCAGATAATCATCACAGCAGAACAGGTTTTATCACAAAATGAGACAAATAATACAATGAATGTAAACAACGTTTTAGGTATGGCTCTTTTCAGCTTCCGTACATGGCTGAACCCTCGTTATTTTTATTTACAATACAGTCGAGGAACGGAGACTGCACCAAAACTACTTGTGGAGTTCATCTGGTGTCTTTACCTGTGCGTGCTTGTTCAGGGGGAACTCCAGGTGTCCTTTGGCAAGATGGAGAGGGTTACGGCGTGACCGGGTCACCAACCCATCAGAATCACTTAGGGATGAACGTGGCAATCGTTCACACTTTAGAAACAATATAGAGTTTCTAATTAACCGAACATGAACATCAAAAAATAATAAAATGCACAACTTGTTACCTGTGGATGTCATGAAGATGCTTTTAAGCATGGCACCTCTTGGCTTCCGTACACCACAGAACCTAAAGGATGCGTTATTAGTGTTAGTCTTTTTTTTTTTTTTTTTTTAAACAAAAGCCTTTCAAACAAAAGTCCACTGTGTAAACTGGGACACGTTTGTGGTACATGAAGGCAGCGGGCTTGAATCATACACAAGATAAACCCATTACAGGTCCAGAGGGGCGGGCAACACATTGCCTTGTCCCGCTCTTCTAAACAAGACATAGCTGCTCCAAAAAAAAAAAAAAAAAGCTTGTAACATATACATTAAATTTTAATTGTTTTTCCAAACTCTTTCCTTCACATCTCTGAAGTAGCAGCTCCTGAAACCTTTAAAGTGTAATGCCAGCTAGATTTCCATCGCTGCGCCTTTGTAGAATAAAAGATAGATGCGTAACAGCAGAGGGGGGAGGAGGGGAAATAATTTACTCTCTGATGCTAGAAGGTAGACAGCTGCTTTTTTCAAATTCCAAGTTTTGGTCCTTTATTTTATTCAGCAGTGAAATGCCATGAATACAGAAAATAATGTCTGTTACAATTCTCAACCATGACCTTCTAATGTCAGAGAAACTTTAACGTATGGACACAGTACACAGTAATGAGGAGTATCAAAACAAGTCTTGATCAGAAATAAAATTACAAAAAAAAAAAAAAAAAAAAAGAAGGAAATCACCATTTACATAAACATGTTTGCTACAGTCCCAATTTACTGTATACATAGGGGGGGTCATATTCTCACTTCTTAGAGAAGGATAGCAGTAGAAAGGATACATGACTCAACTGCCAGACATAATGCTTCATAAAGTATGCACAGAGGTACAAGCAATAAATACACACATTAGGTTAGGCCTTACAGCTACGCAAAGCAGATGCAGAAAAAAGCAGGTTTTGCTAATCTTAGCGAGCAATGAGAGAGAAACAGTAAAAATTCAGGTAAGTCAGAAAAAGAAACACAGAGTTCGTTTTTTTTTCCCCTCTTAGAAAAAAGTCTGGTAAATTTATGGGTCCACCAACATGTTTTTTTTTTTCTTCATTTTGTTTTTTCTTCTTTTTACATAAGTATGCACAGTTATCAAAATACAGACAAAAAAAAATCAACCCAGAAAATCCAGACAATCCTAAAATCTAGTGGAGGAGCAGATCGCAGTTCTGGAGGTCTTTCTGGTATTATGTGCAAGCAACTATTTTAGACTTTTTGTTTAACTTAATTTATATAAAACCCATGCAAATCTACAGGTAATATGCATTCTGTGTGGCTGACAGGTTTTTTCCCCTCTGAGGTAATGCACTCGGATGCATTTAGGCCATCATCCCGATGAGTTTCAAGATTTCCTTTTTATTAAGTCTTTTTTTTTTTCTTTCCAGTCCACCAAATGTTTTTTTTTTTACATGCATTTTTAAAACACAATACTCCCTTACAGGTAATCTATACATTATCATTCTACAAATGTTGCGGACAACCTATTACAATGCAAATCCTCCGTGTGTCTCGACGCAGGGAATGTAAACGTTGGTTCGAGCCGAGCGCAGGAAAATGTACCAGCTCTTGTGACATTCTCGTGCAATCTGGTAGAATTGTTCTGAATTTGTTGTGCAGAGGTAGAAGCTTTCAGAAAGCTTTTTTGGGTAAGTGGGAGCACCCTTTATTTTTTTTTTTTGAAAGACGCCTCGTCCTTTTTATTTGGTGAGATAAGTTTATTAGGTTTGTCGTCTTCAAGTCGTTTTGCTGACTCCAGCTCAGTATTGAAGGGATAATAAGCGTTTTGTTCCGTGTGTGTTCGTACAGTACTGCACGTGTCTGTGCGTCAAGCTTCTTGCAACGGGGCTAGAAAGCAACATAAACACAGTGTCTCCATTTTGGTCAGAGCGGGCAGACGCGTTGCTCGTTAAAAGCGCGACACAAAAGCCACGCCGGGTCTTTGACAGCATACATTTTCTGCCGACGGAAAACAAAGCATGGGAGAACGTGTGTGCGTCAGAGTCCGACATAGTTGTTTTTCTTTATCCCATACAAGAGGAGGCAGAATTTTGTGTAACTTTGGTTTACTGAAAACAGAAATGACCGTTAAAGCAACAACTCTTTTCTAGATGACAGTCTTGAGAGGAACACGACGCGACGCAGTTTCCACTAAAGTCTGAATCCGATAGAAAACGCTGGTTCGTCCGAGCGGAACACCGGCTGGACCGAGACCGTTCAGAAAGCGTGGCGCCCACTCCGCGTGTTGAGGGCTTAAATTAAAGCAAATACCTAGAAAAGGTTCACCTTTGATATCCTCTTCTGAAATGGCTCTTACAGTTTGCTTTTTTTTTTTTTTTGTTTCCCCCCCGTGGTAACCAAGTCACATCATTTCATATTACCTTGAAATCAGGACTTATTTGGCTTCACTAGATATATTTCATGTTTGGTTAGCGACGTTTTCAGTTTCGACACGGCTCGGAAAGAAGAGCGCCACGGAAGTAAAAGACGTGACGGCATCTCCGCCCAAAACAACACACCGGCTTCGAAGCAAGCAGAACAGAAAACGAAGACTCCCCGACGCGAGTGGCGAAACAAAAACGGAATAAAAACTAAAAATAAAAATAAAAAAAGAGCACAATGTTTCCGCACTTCTGTTGAGCCTTTTGGTTATGGTCGACAAAAACGATGCTTTCTATCTGCAGTACGCCTGGCAGAAGATCCCCCAAGGTGGACATTTGATCAAATCACACATGAAAAAATGAATAAAACCAGCATTTGTTTCTGCTCTTCTTCTCAACTGTGTATAGGGCTAAGTGAAACAATCCCAGAGGTTAATCCAAAAGGTAGTTTGCAGAACGAAAGCTTCTCTTCGAACGAGTTTAAAGTCACAGAAGGCGGACCAAGAGGAGTTTGGTGCTTCTGTTTATAAGCTATTGGCCATTGCTAGTGTTGGCTTTGGTTTCTAGCTGTTGCCTGTGACTGTTTGCAGGTAGACAAAGCTTTAAAACGCCGAGGTAAGACGAGCAAGAAAAGGACATTAAGCAGAAATGCATTTGTTTTGTAAAATGGTTATAGTTTCCCCCGATTCCAGTTCTTTTCAAACTTTTTTAATCACAAACATAAGACTGGAAGCCATCTTTTTTTTTGTTGTTTTTGTTTGTCTGGACAGTTGCAACAACAGTCTTGGTATCGCAATTTGGTTACTGGTGTGACTCAGGGAATGGCATTTACAATTGGTGGTGCCTAAAAACAGAACATTTGGGAATGAAAAATAAAAATGCTAAAACGGATACACTGGTTTTAATAATATTAATAATAATAGCAACATACAGGCAGTGACAATTTTCTGAGACTAATCCTGTGCAAATGATAACAGAGCAACAACTTGAATTGAACCAGCAATTGTCTCTAGACAATAACAACTACTGTGGGTCGGATTATTCACAAACATAAAATGTCTTCCTTTTTTTGGCAGTATACGAGGCCGCTAGCTTTCAGCAGAACATGATTTGCTTATTTGTCTCATGTTCTTACCCCCCATCCATGAGTTCATCATCCGTGTACTGTGCGTGGCCACGCCACCTCAACTATAGCAGGTCTCAGTTTGTTTTTGTTTCCTTTACGACAGACATCTCATGTCTGTCATGTTTGGGAATCCCAAAGCTCTGCGACGAAGAGTTCCTTTGGATCGGTCTCTATCCGGATACATGCTCAATAAATAGTCCCAGTGGTGAGAGATAAAGAGCTGTGGTTGGTTGGTGTTTTTGAAGTGACGTGGTTATTGTTTTATTTTTTTTGTTTTGCAGGTCTGTGTGAGAGAAACAGTGCGGTCGGATTGAAGGGAAACGGCGACCAAAAAATAAAAAATTAAAACATAAAACAGTCTATCACTCCAGGTCTTCTGATAGGTTCCCTTCCTCCAGCTCCCGGTCATCGTCCAGCTCCGGACTGTGATTGGCCGTCGTCACAAGTGACATCGGACAGTCGTCGTCGTCCATATTAAGCGGCTCCTCCTTCACATGAACAGGTGGCCTAATGAAAAAGAAGTCACATTTATTAGAGGAAAATGTTCCTATGGGCATTGTTTTACTGAAATGGATGAAACGACTTGCGATGCATTAACGAGAGTATGAAAAGAGTTCTTTAGTTTTCTTTACAGCTCTGAAATAAACATCCTATTGTTAAAAAAAACAAGGCTGACATTCAATCCAATTCAATTCAGTTTATTTATATAGCATCAAGTCACAACAGAAGTCATCTCAGGGCACTGAACAGAAACATTCATATACATTAATCCCTCGTTTATCACGGGGGATCCGTACCCTGTAGGAAGTAGGAATAGTAGTACAAATAGTGGTTTATTTTCGTATTTATATATGAAGGAGTTTTAAACTCTTCCCACACTCTTGCAATATTCTAAACAATGTTTCTAAACTTTAAACACTCTAAAAGAACACAGAATGTCATGATTTCAGCTCTGTGTCTCTGCTGCTCTCAGCCACCTGCAAGCACTCTTGGCCACACCCACTTCTCCGCTCTGCACGGAGAGCAGCTGATCAGCTGCAGCAGGAAGTTTATCCTGCAATGTGGGTTGCACAAAGGTTCAGCAGGTGTTAAATAATTTAAAATAATTTATCCATGCATCATCTTAACCCGCTTCTTCCTTTTTGGGCCGCGGGGGTCACTGGTGCCCATGTCCAGCTATCACTGTGCAAGGGGCGGGGTACACCCTGGACAGGTGGCAAGTCCATCACAGAGACACATAGACAAACCATTCACACTCTCACTCACACCTAGGGACAATTTCGAGTTACCAATCAGCCTAACACGCATGTTTTTGGTCTGTGGGAAGAAACCGGAGTACCTGGAGAAAACCCACACATGTACGGAGAGAACATGCAAACTCCACTCAGAAAGGCCCCCGGATCAGGATTTGAACCAAGGTAACCTGCTCGCTGAGAGGCAGCAGCTCTATCAGTTGCGCCACCGTGCTGCCTTAAAATAATTTATTTTAAATAAAAATTCCATGCTGATAGTACAGCTCATCCGTCAATCAGCCAATTGTGTGTTATGTCCAACCTTATTTTGAAAAATCGCGATAGAGCGAGTCCGTGATAAACGAACCGCAAAGTAGCGAGGGACTTCTGTTTATAAAAAGTAAGTTAACACTATTTAACTGAGGAGCGAATGACTATGAGTTTAACTTCATCGCAGAACTCTCATCTTGAGCAAGCACAAAGGCAACAGTGGAAAGGAAAAACTCTCTCAGGAGGAAGAAACCTCCAGCAGAACCAGGTTCAGGACAAGCGGCCATCTGCTTCGACCAGCTGGGTTTGGTAGGACAGGAAGTAGGATCAGGTCATTGGGTATCATGGACATATATAATCGTGTATCATCAGCATAACAATGAAAATTTATCCCATGCTATTTAATAACTGTACCTAATTCAAGGATTCAAGGTTCTTCATTGTCATTCGCATCACATGTGGTACAAGAGGTGGAACGAAATTGTGTAATCAGGGTCCCAGTTACATCCAACAAAAGTATACAATGTAAAAGAAAAACAGTAATAAGATCTAAGATATGAACTAAGAAAAACGTCGACTAAAAAGACGCTAAGCACTAGCAATAATGGAAGCATAGATAAAGAGTAGTGGTCCAAGCACTGAACCCTGAGGACCTCCACGACTAACTTGAAGAAAATTCATTATTTACATTTACCAATTGGAATCTATCAGGTAAATATGATTTAAACCAATTTAGAACCGTTCCTGTAGTTCCAACATCATATTCAAGTCTCTGTAGTAGAATATTGTGATCAACTGTATCAAATGCAGCACTGAGGTCTGAGGACATGTATCATGAACAGAAAGTAACAACCTTGTTGTTTGCAGGACGCTAATTGAACGCGATGCCTCACGTCGACTGTAAGTAAGCACATGAAAACTGCATGAAGAAACACAGCCGGTAACTGTGATGCTCCAGACATGTTTGGCATTTAAAAGTTTACTGATGACACCAGGTTGAAATACATGAAAAAGAAAAAAAAAAAAAAAAAACAGGCCACATGATAAATAATGGAGAATTCCTCATCCCTGAGCCCCCTGGAGCAAAGGCAGAGGAGAGGCTTTTTTATCTAGTTAATAGAAAGCACAGCCACTCGTTAATATGCAGAAGCTGTGCATGTCGCTCCTCAAGAGGAAAAACCGGCAGCTAGGTTCTGCCATTAATCAACTTCAGCCCCGGCAGTTCACTCGGACACAGTGATACATGTTTTTACCTCTAAATGGATGAATATCTTCAGCCGCTGTCAATAAGCGGCTCACCGGACGCCGTTCTCCTCTGAACAACAGAGGAGTGGGAGGACGGAGAAGAAGAAGTGCTGGGCAGCTAACAAGAATAATAATGCTGTCACACACAAACAAGGCGTAACATGATCCGGGGCTCGAGTCGGGGAGAAGGGGTTTGTGCAACGATGATAAATCTGACAAAACCTAATTATTTCTGACACATCGGATGCTTCTGGAACTCCCCCAAGACTCGGAAAGAGGAGAGGGAGCCTTATCAAGTGGTGGTACGTTAGGATGCGCCTCTCCTGGGCCGCCTTCATCAGTTGAAATGGGGAGGGCAGGCGAGAGGAGGGGGGGCTTTAGATTTGAAAAGAATTTTTAAAAGGTACAGATGACTTTAATATTCTGAGCCAAATACTGTAAATTAATATTCTGATGTGGTGGGTTGAGAGGAGGAGGCTGATCTGAGCGGGACGATGAATATTTCTGTTTCTGTTCCTCAGATTTACAGACTGTACATACTGGGGGGGGCAGAGGTACAAAAAAAAAACCCGTGAAACCAAAGTGAAGTCATTCATTGAACTCTTTTACTACAATATTTTATTTATAGGCATTAATTTAAATCCAGCACAGCTTGGACTGATCCGTGCAGAGAAGTTGTGATGAACAAAATAAAGACTTTGTGCTATAAATACCCATAACGTTTATTTACATAGTCCAGAGCTGCTCATTGTGACGACTTGAATTTGCACACTAAAGCTTATTTTGTAAAAAGCCCCTTTTAATATTTATCTCATTAGGATGTTTGTAAGGCCCAGGAGAAAAAATATGCACCGGCGTATGTCGCAGGCTTGAGATTTCCGGCACTTTATTAAAAAACATGGACGAGTCATTTACTGCCTAATGGCCAGCTGCCATTATCGAGTCACTCAGGAGTGAACGCTGCTCTGGACGTGGCGTAATAAATACCCGGCGCTCCGTGTGGATGTGCTGCGCTCACATCAAACGCAGATTAGCGCCGGCAGTCGTGCAGAGGTTAAGTCGGGGGATGCAAATACGGTCATTAGTCCGGGGGGGTCCGATGGTGAAGTGAAACACGGAAGAAGACGGAACGACGGAGACGCTCAGAGCGCACAAACACCAAACAGAGATGGCTTCCAAGATGCATCCCATGAATTGTGTGACATTAAATAATGGTGTGAATGTTTATGAAGCAATAACACTGTTGTCGTCCATTTTTCTTCCGTACGATTTTCCGCTTTATGAAATATTTAACCTTTTCTGCCATTTTTTTTTCCTCATAGAAAATGAATTGAGCTCATTTTACATCCTTCAAATCTTTAGATACGTTAAACTTTTACTGCTCCTCTCACATTTTGTTCTGGTTCAGCTTCTTCCAGCTTCCTTGTGCAAATGTAAACATTTTTTCAGCTATTTTCAGATAATTTCAGCAGTTTTTTCAGCTGTTTTGTGCTCCTTTCAGATTCTTTCTACTAACTAGAACATTTTTGTGCTTCTTCTAACTTCTTTCTGCTAATTTCAGCTTGCTATGCTCTTTTCAGCTTATTTCTGCTAGTTTACGCTTAAGCTACTATTTAGCTGTTTTATGCTAATTTTAGCTTTTTCAGCTAATTCCACATTTTTTCCCACTTTTGTCAGCCTAATTCAGTAAAAAAAAAAAAGCTCTCTCCACCTCCTCCTTGTAATTTAAGCTTCTTTCTACTTTTTTAGCAACTTTACCTGTGTTTCCAATCAGCTGCTCCACACTCAGACCAGGACTGGGAAATGTCTCCTTCATGTCCAGGAACTCTGCCAGAAGACTGCCGTCCTCCTCCTGATAGCTTCTGGATTTGACTATCGTAAGAAACTGCCCAACTGAGACAGTCCTGAGTAAACCTGCTTGTAAACACAAACATGTGTCCATGTCTTTTTGGACTTATTACAGTTTAAAATGTCTTCAATGGGCCGTTAGCAATTGGTTAGCTACTCTAATGTCAACGAAGCCAGATTCTACCAGGATTTATTTAGATTTTAATGTTTCCTTTCGGATTAAAATCTAAATATCTGGCTAAAAATTCAAATACTGTTACAGCTTTGACGATATCTGAGCCCATCAGCTTTAAAGTAAAGTTTTAAAATTGCATGCAAAACATTTATTAGAAGAGTTCAGTTTCAGCTAAACAACCATACTTTTTCAGAACAGTTCTGACACTTTTAGAGCTAAATTATACGTCTATAATCCTCTGATGAAGCATGTTGCATTCAAAAAGTATCACAAAGGTAACAATATCTCATTTTCTGTCTTCCCAAAACAATAATAGCTGAATCAAGAAGTTTGAATAAAATTACTTTAAACACCATTTCTGTTCAGTGCTCTGAGATGACTTCTGTTGTGACTTTGCGCTACATAAAGAAAATGAATTGAAATTTGCAGCTGTTTTTATGCTACTTTAAGCTGTTTCAGATAATTTTCAATTTTTTTGTGCTAATTTCATCTTTTTTCAGGCCAATTGATGAAACATGTTCTTTCTGCTTTCTTCTGCTAATTTAAGCTTGTTCTGCCTTTTCAGCTACCTTTTTAGCTTTAGCTAATTTCAGCTGTTTTCAATAAATACAAGCTTTTCATGGTAATTTCCGCTACTTTCAGACTAATTAACTTCTTTCTGCTAATTTCAGCTTGGTTTGCTACTTTCAGCATATTTTTGCAAGTTTCAGCTTTTTCAGCTACTATTTAGCCGTTTTATGCTAATTTTAGCTTTTCAGCTAATTCCACAATTTTTAGCTAATTTCAGCTCTTTCCACTACCTTCTGGTACTTTAAGCTTCTTTCTGTCTTTCAGCTACTTTTTAGCCACGTTTTGCTAATTTCAGCTATTTTTAGCTAATTTCCTAATTGTTGTATTAATTTCTGCTTATTTAACCTAATTCAGCTAATATGTGTTCTTTCTGCTTTCTTCTGCTCATTTAGGCTTGTTCTTCCATTTCACCTACATTTCCGCACTTTTTTAAAAAGCTAATTTCAGCTGTTTTGCAGCAAGTTCTTCTGCAATAAACATTCACACTGCATTTTCACAGGAAATGCAATTTCTCTAGTTTTGTTTAATCTGTACATTTAATTAACAAGTAAAAGGCGCACTTTACAAGTTGGGAGCTGTAATTGTGGATTTAGGTGTTTCTTGGAATTACTGCTACAACTTCTGTTAAGCAAAACCCCTTAGGGTGGTACATGAGTGTATTACACATGCATACTCACACACACACTCAAGTGCACGCTAACCCAGCATGGCCCAGGGCGAGCCGGTCTGCGGTTAAGCAGATATCATTAACCTTTAGACATTTAGGGGAAAGAAGAGGTTCGTCTAACTGTTGAACGGACTCGGTCGTGCCGAGGACTCTCCTCCTCTGATGGGTCGAGGTGACGTGCCGTTTAGTTTAGTGCTACACGCCACTCCATTATTTAAACACACGCTGCACAAGGCAGTCGTGGAAAACACACTTCTTCCATTTTGAGGTTGTAGCGGACTGCGTGAGGGCAGTCTGGGGAGGGGGAGGAGGGGCGGCTGGGTGCGTCTCATCCTCCGTAACTACTTCTGTCAGTGTCGGGGGTGGCGTGGCCACAGAAAGCAGGAAGAAACAGAAAAAACGTCTTGGCTGTCCTGCTGAAAATTAAATGACCTTCGGGAGTGGCAACACAGGGATCCTGTCTAGTGCTGGGCAGATTTGCTCCACTTACCACCTCATTTCAGAGGAGTAAACACGTCCAAATGTATAAACGTAAAGACGCTCGGTAAGATTAAGCAAACTCTTATTCTCATTAATATATTTAGCCTCATAGGGCTGGAATGCATCCTTTATCCATTACAGAAGTGGTTAACTAATGTCATCCGAGCTTTGATGGACAGTAGGATAAGAAGCGCGTCTCTAAATGCTGCCTTCACTGGTTTAGATGTTCCTGAAAGTCACACATGAATAGTCTTTTCTGAGCCACATAAAAAGGGAGAACTGTTTAAAGTTATTAATGCTACATTTTCCAAATATCAATACGAAAAGTTTGGCATAAAAATCAAGCTGCCAATCTGCTAGAATGTCCACATTTAGTGTAAAAGAGATGTGTGGTGAAGCTGGTTTGAATGACTGCAGCTGCCTCCCAGAGTATGACCAGTAAAAATAATAAAACCACATAATCAGGAACAGGAAGAGGAAAATTAACCCGATAACGGCTGGGAATGGAGCTCTGCCCTGGGGTCAGCGCTAACTGAAAGAACGCTGATACTGCGAGGTAAATGTCAAACAATTGAAGCAACATCAGGGAGCCAAGGAGCGATTTCGGTTTCAGCCGCTTGTGTTTGCGTTATCTCATGACTTGAAGAGTTGAAAGGTGAGCAGATCAAATTATCATGACTTCAGACGTTTTTTAGGCCTGTTCTTGGCACATTTTTACACATTACTGCTGTCAGGCAAAAACCTTTTATCTCCCAAAGTTGAATTTGTCAGAATGTGATCAGGTTTATTTTTAATAAAGCCATACTTTTCTTCACTCAGGTGGTGCAGGCGGAGGAACGCTGGAGAACTAGCGGCTCCGGTCGCGATGGATGGATGGACGGACGGATGGATGGCGCCGTGCCACCCAAGTAAAATGAAACTGTTTTGACCATTAAATAAACACATAATAAATCTGAATCTGACTCCCCTGGCAGGCCTCGAAAACAGGCCGACATATCAATTTCTCCTGGGGAATGTGTAAACTAAGGAAAAGCTTTGTCTATCGCAGCCCCTCACCCCCACCTTGAGAACTTCTCTGGAGGCTTATCAGAACTGTGCTGGCTGACCATCATCTTATCAGGACAATGGACCATCTGTTAGTGCTTCACGGAGCGCCTTGTCATCATATGCATATGTAAAGTGCTCATAAATGTGCTGCTGGCAGAGTTTTTTGATGTCTTAAATCATGTCCTGATAGGACAAGGTGCGAAAAGATCTTTTTTTTGTAATTCCACTATCCTATCCTCGTGGCTTTTTCCCCTTTTCTATCTAAAAAGGTATTATGAAAAGGATAAGAGGCTGCGCTATCATAGCAGCAGCTACGCGCACTCCGCCCATCTCTTGAATGACTGTACAACCGTACAAGGATAATAAAGCTTATTCTGATTCTGATCATAAATGCGGTGATGCATAATAAATGCGAGTTATACGCCAAAGCGACTTATGTATGTTTTTTCCTCTTCATGATGCTTTTTTTAAACTGATGCAACTTATAATCCGGGGATTGATTTATACGCCGGAAAATACAGTATGTTAGAAAGGACAGGCAAAGATTTCGTTTCTACACTGCGGGGGCTTACATGTGTACTGGAGGAGAGTATCCAGGGCTGCTGTGTCCGTTGGTGTCCAGGTGGTCGATTGAGCCGTTGAGCTCCTCATGGGCTGACTGCAACATAATGGGGGGGCTGCCGCTCAACGTACCAGGGGGGCTGATACCCAGCAAGCCTGGTGGACTCCCGCCCAACAGTCCAGGTGGGCTTCCTCCAGTTGGCATGGACAGGTCTCCGCCCAGCAGGCCGTGGCAGTTGCCTCCCATCGGGCCGGCGGCGCTGCTCATGAGCCCGGGGGTCCCCAGCAGAGGCAGGGAGGTCTCTGCCAAGGCAGCCTGCAGGAGAACCACGGAGAGAGGGAATGATGTAATAAGAGTCTGAATATGGCGGTAGCTGATGAAGGTGAAGAATGAGCGATATGTGGCAATTAAAGCACGTGGAAGATTTGTATCCTTTGGGTGATGGCTGAGAGGAGATGAGAGAGCATAAAAAATAAAGTTAGCAGGATAAATGACTGCACGGAGGTGATTTGGAGTAAAAAAAAAAAAAGATATTTGTGTGAATAATGTGGTTTAACAAAGTTATTATTAAAATACAACATCCTAGTCTTATTCTGTTGAAAGCAATTTCCCCCCAAGTGGAAGCTCGTAGATTACTTCCCACTAACCGCCATTCATGTGCCTTTGTGTGTGGTGGCTACATTCATATATTAAAAAAAAAAAAAGATTTCTGAAAACTTTACCTCAAAATAATAAAAACTCCTGACACTTTCGCCTGCTGCGCATTAAAGTTATATACACTGATTAAATTTTTAAAGTTTTTGCCATGAGCACCTCGCCAGCGTACACTACGAAGCCAAATCATTTATGACAGCTTAGATAAATATTAATGCGCATGCCCTTGCATTTGCACATGCCACAATCAATCTGGGGTGGATGCCACGACCGGGAGAGGAGGAGGAAAAAGAACGGAACAACAGAAAGCGAGTTCCTTCTAGGTTCAACCACAGGGTGGCCTTCTGAGTCTGAAGGTGGCTGGGGAAGGAGGTGTGAGGAGAGATGCAGGAAATGAAGCTGTGGCATGAACAAACTGGAAAGTTCCTGGAGAAACTTTGATGGGGACTGCCATGGGGTGGCCATTTTTAAATTTTGATTCAATAGTATGTGTTGGCCAAGTTTCAGCTTAAAATGGCAAAATATCAATGAGTTAGTCTTTTTTTTTCTTTTAAGCTATGGTGGCAACCTTGGATTTTTGGTTTGGAGTCAGTGTGTGATAGGAAATGTTCTTAGCTATAAGCACAACAAATTTCAGCTCTATATGTGTAAAAGTAGCCGAGCTAAAGCCATTTAAATTTAGCTTTGGTGGCCATCTTGAATTTTTTTAATGCATTATTTATTGGGCATTGCTCTCAGCTACCACCACACCAAATTCAGCTTAATAACTCTAAAAATGTCTGATTTACAGTATTATTCCTTTGTAGCTCAGGTGGTAATCTTGGATATTTGATTTTCTATCAGTCCGGAAAAAAAATACTAATAAAAATGGCATCTTTGTTTGCAAGTTACATGGCCATTGTAACTCAAAACGCCAATAAAAGTAATGGCGAACAACAGGGTGCTGAGCTGGTCGTTTTGATGTAACATTTGTGGGGGTACACGTTGCGTTTCGGACCGCATTAAAGTTGATGGAAGAGTAAGATATAAAGTTAAGAAACCCTTGTCAGGTGGATAATAATAGGAGGCTGCGTTACTAGGCAGTCCCCAAAAAGCTGCTTCGGCTTCTGTTAATGCAACAACTAAAATATGGAGTTCTTTTGTGCAAAATAGTCACACCCAATTCAGCAACACGTTCTCTGAAGCTTTAGTTCGTACCTGTAAACTGGCATTTAGTGCAGTTCCATAACCAAGGCTGGAGGGCAGGTTCTTCACAAGAGACGGACTTCTAAACAAAACGACAACAAAGTTATTGTCAAAAGCAGATTTAATTAAAAAAAAGGGGGAAATAAAGGTAAATAGGAGCAGAATGCAGAGGCCTACAGCACACGATGTAGGAAGAGGCGGTTGAATTCGTACCCTGTGATCTTCTGCGACCTGCGTTTCTGGTACTCCATCTCGTCCACCGTCCACACCGCCCCCTTCACGTTCTCCACACGCACGAAGCACTTGTGCAAGCTGAGGTTGTGGCGAACGGCGTTCTGCAGGAAGACGACACACTCAGGTCAATCGGAGGAGGTAAAACAAATCATTATCCTTTATGACAAAAAAAAAAAAAGGCTTTGAAATTGAATTTTTTTCTAACGTTTTTAAGAAATTCTTAACATTCACGCACCGTTGATTTAATTAGTAAAAACTGAGTGAAAGCGAATGCTCTTACAAGTCCTGCACACAGTACATATCAATCAGAGTAAGTAGGCTAAAAGGAGGTAATCAGCATAGCGAATGGCTTATGGTGGTGACAGAAGTGGTAATGCCGGCCTTGATAATGGTGATGTCAGTAACCCTTCCCGCTCCAGAAAAGTACAGCACTTAATGGACACGTCGCTTTAAAGATGACAGTACTGGAAGTTTTAAGAAGCCTCTCCTCCTCCGTGTGTGAATTAACTTGAACTGCACCAATTTATACGACCAAATGTTAAATTAAACATTGACGCTTTCCTAAAATCAAAACTGCTTGAGAAGAAATACTTATAATAAAATATGATCATAATTAAAACATGCATTAGACCTGACAAATAATAAACCCTGCTTTAATATTCCTGCCTCTTATATTTATCGCCCCCCTCAGCTTGGTGTGTACTCCAAGAGAAAGGGGATTCTGAAGAAAAAAAAAAATACTCATAAGCAGATCTTGCATCTGACCTGAAAATCCCATGATTTGATTGATCTTAATGCCCATGGCTCTGAATATGATAATTTTAATATTAATGAGCAAATGAGCAGTTTTATTATGCATGCTATAGAGTTAGAACTAATAAGCTTCTGGATGAGAGGAAAAGGAGAGAAAGGAAAAGTGGAATTGGGAAGGGGGGGTGATCCCTCTTTTGAGCTGATGAGACCAAGCTGAGATATTAAACTACCTTTCATTTATTTCTCTCTCTTCTCTTGCTCCCCCCACCATGACACATTCTCCCTGTTAATCAAATGACAAGCCCATCGCTGATCATCCCACTAACGCTTACAAAGGGAACCGCGGCGCCGCAGATGTAAATAGATCACCTTGGTTATTGTGCAAGCCGGGAGACATGAGGATATTTCTAAAGTCACTGTGACATCACAGGCTGAGTGGCACCGGTTGTTTTCTGCTGCAAAAAGTCTCATAAGATCACCGCGCGTACAGTAGCTAACAAACTGGAGAAGGGGCACCGATCTTTTCGCCCCTCGAATTTGCGATCGCACACACCCATGTGCTCATTTGCATCCCAAATCCAAATTAATTCACTTTGCTAAATCTAGTGCCGCGACACGTCTTGCATGCTGATGAGCGGCTGCTTCGGTCCCCCCCCCTCCAGTCCTCTGTGCAGCTACAAAGGCTAAAGAAACAGATGCAGGGGCCACGGGACAAAACGTCGAACACGACGACACTCGGCGGGCCTTTTCTCTTTCAGCGCCGAGACACACTCCTGACTGGGAAGACATTTTTCACCATCTTTGTGCAGTCAGACAGGACCATAAAGTTGCAGGGAGAGACATACAAATGGGTCCTTTTGTGCCCCCCCCCCCACTTCAGCTCCACGTAAACCCCTCTTTTGGAAACAGTTTATGTATATGTGTGGACATGTGAGTCCCCTGCCGACCTCTTCACACGACTGAGAACGCTGGTTAACAGGCGAGCAGCCATCTTTCCTCACGATTAACCAACGATGTGCAGAAGAAGGTGGTCCCCGGACCAGGAGGGGGGGGGTGCATCTCTTAACAAAAGGTGCTGATGATGGAGGGGCTGCTGTATAATTAGAGCGTCAGAGCCCTCTCCTCTGCACGCCAAGACTTCGCTATTAATTGCACCAAATTAGAAAACCATACCTGAAGGTGTGCGTGTGTGTGTGTGTGTGGGGGGGGGGGGGGGGGTTCTTTCAGCTGTCATTTCCAAACAAAAAGGTGGAAAATAAATAAAAGAATGAGCTCCATTGAACGGAACATGATCGGCTTCTCGTCGAGTAAATATAGGTTTCGTGCGCGAGGTTACCTTCCAGGTTGCAGCGTTGCGTCTGAAGTAGGCGAACGTGCGCGTGAACCAGCTGTAGATTTCGTTAAGCGTTAGCTGCATGTCGGCAGAGTCCATGATGGCCTGGAACGAGACGACACCAAGTAACGGTTTACTAACGAGGACACGAACGCGCTGCCAGGACGTGGACGGCGAGGAGGGAGAGCCGCCATGATTCCTGCAGCAATTAATTTGAATCTAATCAGGCAAAGTTAATTTATTTCCCACTCACCTGTCTTATGAGGGTTGCATAAGTAAACGGTGGTCTGACATCTGCGTTCTTATAAAACTCGTAGTTTGGGGCAATCTCTGGAAAAATAAATACTGTGTCACCACCTGAAATAATTGGTAAATTTTATTCCTTTAGGTATTGAATTTGCTCAAGGTTTCATCAAATTAAAACGAGGGGATGGGGTGGGGGGCAAAGAGGGTGGGGTGGGTTAGAAAGAAAGGGGGGCACATCAAATCAGCACTTTCCATGTCTAACAAAATGCATTTTTAATTAATCTCTCTCGTGAGAGATATTAAACACTTCCATATATGAGATGTGTGCAGTTAGTTAGGGCGAGGCTGAATAATTTATGCTGCTTCACACTAAACACGGGAGTAAATATAAACATCAAAGACGGCCCGTTTAAAATGCATAGCTTAATACATGTCTTAATGTAATAAATATTGTATTTTTTCCACCATTATTTGAACTTAATTAACATTCATGCAATATTTATGCGGGCAGGAAGTTCTTGTCTGTTTACATATCGAGTGATTAAATACAGACTTTTCACACCAGTAAGTCCAACAAGCCTCTAAATGTGTGGGTGTGTTTCTGCACAGTGTTACGTGCACTCTGTGTGTGTGTGTGTGTGTGTAGGCTCTTCTGAGTTGAGTGCAATTAATCGTCTAGTGCTCGTGATTGAGGTATCACTGTAATTTGCTGTTTTAGCATTCATTAAATTTTAATAGAAACTTAAAATGAAGGAAAACTGTGTTTTTATTCAGTCAAATTCGATATAAACCAATATTTCAATTGTTAAAGCTGTTTGAAGAATTTCTCATATTTCAATGGCTTGATAGTGGATTGTTCCTAATACAGGGCAATTCAACTGGCGGCCCAGGGGCCAAATCAGGCCCACTGGTGAGCTAATTTCAGCCCACCAGTGGGTTCATTTTTAAATAAAACTAAATTTTATACCGTAAAACAAGCTTAATTTATGAAAATAGCTGCTGGATTTCCAGCTCCTGAGCGATTTAGTTGAATAACCCGGTCCTAAAATATGCAACAATCAGACAGATTTGTTAAAAAGTGACCCGTCTACGCTGAATTAGTGGATCTGTGTCGTGTGAAGTGCTGAGTAGTTGGTCCTACCCGACGACAAAGGCATGGAGTATTTGTCCGAGTGGCGTCTGCGCATGGCACCCATGCTGGGGACGTTGGCCCCTCCCAGTACCGATGGCACCTGTGGCATGGCAGCCATGGGTGTGATGGGGGCTGTGGGCGTGGTAGGGGTCTGTGGCATGTTGGGGGGCGACGCTGAGGGCAGATTCTTGGACATGGTGACGCTGGACACCAAGTTGAGCTGCAAGAGGGAAAGGAGGAGATAAAATCTGAGTCGTGAAGAGGAAATGGAGACAGACAAGTGGGTTTAGTGTGGAGGAGGGAGGCGTTATTTTGTGGTTTCCCTGACAGAGCCGAGCGTGTGCACTCCTCCTCTCCAACACAGCTGTGTTTCCACTAACAAGGCTCGTGGAGAGGAGCCAGCCCATCTCCACTAATTACAACCACCAAATTGTATCATAAGAATTCTAATTAGAGCACGCTGTTCAAGATTATCCAACGATCAGCCTCCATGTTATCCCAGCCCCATCTCTCTTTATCTCTCTATTTATCACAACCTCCCTTCTCTCTCTCTCCCTCCCTCCCTGCCTCCCTCCCACTACAAACACTCATCATCACTACACACTGAAGAAACGAGCCCCTAAAACTCTTGCCGTTGCTGTGACCCTGCCAGATTATCTGACCCTGTTGAGTTTATAGCTCTGTTATAGAAGCCATACTGTCAAAGAAATAAATAAATAACTTTTGGAAAACTACAGCATTGAATGAGATAATCCACAATATAAGGCTTTGTAAATCTAAATGAAAGGCTTTGGATGGAGTATTAATGTCAACATAATTAAAAGGCGTTGCTACAACTTCACCTAAAGTAATCAGTCTTTTCATTTAGCTATTCATAATCTCTCTATAACCCGTTAGAATTTATGAATGCTTTTGCATCTGACGCCCATAGGTGCTTGCTCAGTGGAACAGGTGCCCCCAACCCCCCATTTTCTATGTTGGGGTTATTGTGTGAATGTTTATGAATCATTCACACTATCCATTTTTCTTCCGTTCGTTTTGCAGCATCTTTCTCGTGCCACAATTTTTGTGCCATTTCAACAAATCATAAATGAAAATGTTCAGCTCTTTCCTGCTATGACTTTTGGTATTGATGCAACTTTAGGTTTTTTAAGTATTTAGCCTTTTCAGCCATTTTTCCCCCCTCTTATAAAAAATGAATTGAGCTCATTTTCCATCCTTCAAATCTTTAGATCTGTTTACAACCTTTTTCTGACCCTTTCACATTTTGTTCTGGTTCAGTTTCTTTCGGCTTCCTTGTGCAAATAAAAAAACCCCTGCTATTTTCAGTTAATTTCAGCTGTTTTATGTTCCTTTCTGCTAACTACAACAATGTTGTGCTTCTTCTAACTTCCTTCTGTTAATTTCAGATTGTTATGCTCTTTTCAGCTTAACTATTTCAGCTACTATGTTGTTTTTAAAATAATTTGAGATTTTTCAGCTAATTCAACATTTTTTGTACAATTTAAAACTTTTTTCAGTCTAATTCAGCATATGTGCTCTTTCTACTTCCTTCTGGTAATTTAAGTTCTTTCTGCTTTTTTAGCTACCATTCAGCAGTTTTTTTTTTTTTTGGTTGCAAATTTCAGCTTTTTTCTTCTTCAGATAATTTTCACTTTTTGTGCTAATTTCTGCTTCTTTCAGCATAATTGGGCAAAATTGTGCTCTCTCTACTTCATTCTGCCAATTTGAACTTGTTCTACATTTTAAGCTAAGTTTTTAACATTTTTAGCTAATTTCAGACGTTTTCAGATAAATTCAAGTTTTTACTGGTAATTTCTGCTATTTTCAGCCTAATTAATTTTTTCTGATAATTTCAGTTTGTTGTGCTCCTTTCAGCTTAATTATGTTAGTTTCAGCTATTTCAGCTACTATTAAGCTGTTTTTATAGTAATTTTAGCTTTTTCAGCTAATTCCACATTTTTAGCTCATTTAAGATCTTTCCATTTCCTTCCAGTAGTTTAAGCTTCTTTCTGCCTTTCAGCTAATTTTCAGTCATGTTTTGGTTAATTTCAGCTTTTTTTTAGTTATTACGTTCCTAAATTTGCTGCCAATTTCTGAATATTTAAACCCAATTCAGCAAATATGTGTTCTTTCTGCTTTCTTCGGCTAATTTAGGCTTATTTTTCCATTTCAGCTACATTTCAGCATGTTTTTTAAGCTAATTTCAGCAGTGTTTCAGCAAGTTCTTCTGCAATAAGCATTCACACAGCAATTTTGCAGGAAATGCAATTTTTCTAGTTACTTTGGCACATTTTTTAAATTCAAAAACATGTTTTTGCCCCTAGCAATAAGACTAAAGCTTCTAGTGTTTATGGATTCTAACCAAAAAAGTATAATAAAAATAATCACAAGGTTCAGCACCCCTTTTCCTCACCTTTGAGTTGGTTCAGTCCAGCTCTGTGACACATAGCTGCTAGTCAGACGCTTTTTTTTTATTTATTTTTTACGATGAGTCAGACAGAATAACACAAAAGTCCAGCTGTTTAAAAAACTTGAAAAAAGTCAGATTCCTGTGTCACGGATATGATGTGAAGATTTAAAAATAACCTCGTATACACACATAAATACAAGTGTGTTGTTGCTAATAGCAGCACCTGATAATTGGACAGTTTAAACGACTTCATGGATCCACACTTCAAATCCAGAAGAACTTTTCTGAGATTAAACTTATGGACTTCTAGTACATAAAGTTCGTCTTCACTTATGGTCACTTCCCAAATACATGCACTCAGTGTTGAGTCTTCATCTAGCCCACTCCAACTGATCTTTGAGTCTCTGCACTAATTTGGTCGGAATGATAATGACATTGTTACGTATTTAAACCAAACTGCATTAATTGTAAGAGTACAAATGGAATGCATCTGAAGCCAGAGTTTGGATTTAAATAGACTTGAAAGACAGAAGGCGCTTAGAAACGGAGGGGCAGAGCTAAGGAGGAGGTATTGGCGATCACGTGTTGATAAATATGATAAAACCATGATGATGGAGAGGGTTTCAGATTATTATATACCATCAGCTGTAATGAGCTGGTTCGGAAGTTGACAGCTCAGATCACTGCTGAGGAGACTTCTGGACTTCACGAGGAACTCTCCATTCCTGAAGTTCTTTGCTTGAATAACTTGTTGCATGAATTTTGAACGTGTTAAAAAAATGTGTGACACATTTTCCTTCAAAACAATCAAGAGTCACTGCAGGTGTCTCAAACCTTTTTCTATGTTGTCACAAGCACCTGTCTCAAAAATGAAAAATCTTAATTTTAACATTTGCATGGGAGCGTGTGGCGGCAAATACTGAGGTGGGCAATGAAAAAATGTGCATGGCCTAAAATAAATATTGGCTGGCCGTGCACATAAAACCAAACAGATTATAAAAAGAATTAGCCATGGCAAACGTGGACGCACGGTTTTCTGGTCGCTTGGTATTTACAGTTTGTTTCGGACTATAAGGTGCACCGGCTTCTAAGGTGCATTAAGCGAAATAAGTTTATTTTGACAGATTGTTGAGTGCCGTGTACCACATAAAATCGGTTCGAGGTCAGTAAGCACAACCAGAATTAAAATATAAGGCTCACTGTCAATTTTTAAGAAAATTCAAAGATTTTAACTGTGCCTTATAGTCCAAAAAATATGGTAACACTCAAAAAAAAAAAAAATTGTGTATTTTCTCGCAATAGTGAGTCAAATCGGAGTTTCCAACGAGCCTCCAACAGTCCCAGCCCAGTGAAATACCACCTTAATCAAATCTTAAAAGGCTAAGTGTGCAGCAGCCACTCAGATTATTTGTTTTCCTGTTGCATGCCCTCTTGTGGGATGTACAATTAGAACGTTAAAACATAAATCTTCATCTCACCTTCCTTGATAAAGTGGGGAAGCCTTAAAACTGAGGACTTAACTGTTCGTTTAGGAATTCTCTGAATTGCCCCCACCATCAAATGCAATTAGCTGCTCTTTCATGTGAGCTTTATGTAATGCAATACTTCATTAGCATCATTCATTCACATTCAGCCACGGATTATAGGCTGCACATTCTTTATTGGACAAGATGGATCCAAGCTGCTGAAATTTGGAAGATGGAGAGAAAAAAATGCTACATAGAGGGAGAGAGCAAAAAAAGATAGTTTGATTCCTGATGGAATTATAGAATAATTATGCTATCTTCATTATCTACATTCTACGATGAGAGGTGATTGGGAAATTATTATATTGAAAGTAGGCACTTACTAAGCAGCAGGAAGACGCCAACTATGTTTTGCTGTCTAACACTCTAAAACATTCAATACTTGGAGGGGGATGAATGTTTGCCAAAAATGTATAATCTTGATATCAAACCCAAATACAGCTCGGAGCGTAGTCGTTCCAGCTAAAAATGGAAAGCAAAGGAACAAAAATTCTTATTTTTTTCCGTGACCCCTTTCTTAGTTTTTGCCTCTTTTCTGTTTTAGTGGCCAATTTCAGCTCCGCTGTGTGTATTCGTGTCAACATCCCACCGTCTTCGCCGGCGAGCTGTCATTTTCAGCTGTTTGTTGTTAAAATGACACATCTTCTCCTCTGTCATTTCACTTCTGAGTGCCGCTGTGGCCACTGAGCCAAACAGTCATCAGCAGCCAACAGGTTGTTTTGGCTATTATATCCATCACAAAGAAATGACCCCGCCGTTTTAGCCGAGGACTCCGCCGCTCCGCCATCTAATACACTTCCAAACTCTATTGTCCTCTCACAATGCGCAATAAGTGATAAGACGCCAACTCTGTATTACAAATCCTATTCCCCCCCCCCTTTCATCTTCTGTCGCTCACTCACACAGCGGCTTAAACTGTTCATTTTCTGTGCGGCTGTCTCATGTGTTGACGGGAGGCAGAGCAATATGCACTCACTGGTTTGGGAGATGACTTGGGTTCTGAGGGCCGCATGTGCAAGTGGGTCATCATCGCTTGAAGACGCTCTCGCTCTTTAGAAAGCTGTTAAAGAGAGAAGGAGAGTACATTAGGGTCGATTAGAGAGGAGAGGAAGGGAAGATAGGGGACGGAGAGCAAGCGAACGGCAGGGAGAACAGGTCAGCCAAAACAAATAGCGTTTCATCTTTTTGTCAATATCAGAATTTAGGTTAGCGAGACTGACAGTAACAAGGCAGTCGGGCCTTAAATGAGGTGGTCCTGAGTGTCCGCTCAAAGTCCTGTGGACACTGTTAGGGGGATGGAGCTCAGCCTGCAGCTGCTGAGAGGTGAAGGGGTCTCCCAAACAGGGTGCCAGGTGGCCCCGCCTCCCCGGTCCAGTTAGTGGCCCCAGCCGGTGCTCATCATCAATCTAATTCACGTAGAGTGACAGGGACCAGACCTCGCGAAAGGCCGAACCCCCATCCCCTCTCCTTCGCGCACCCTTAATACGCAGACACAAGATAAAACACACAAACAGGAGGGGAAGCGGGTACACACAGGTGTACACATACACAGAGCTGGGCCTCATTACTAGTGACGGCTCTCGTGTAGAAAAGACAAAGAAAGAGATGATGGGGTTCAAGAAAAGGGATAGAGGAGAAGAAACAGGACAGACAGCACAAGTGCACCACTCTAACTGGTCCCACTGTTCACATCAAGCTTTAGCTGTTTAGGCTGCAACGATATAAAAAAGGAATGATCAAATAAAAATGGTACTTTCACAGATCTTTTAAAAAAAATAGCTACTTTATTCATTCACCTTTAGGACCCTCTGATTTATGCGAGTCAAATATGAACTTTCCACAAAATAACAACTATGTTAAGTGTGGATATTCTCATCCTGCCAGAGGTGGTGAGGTCTACTTTGAAAGTTACTGAACAGTTTTTATGTAAAAACAGCCTGAAAACCCTGAAAGAAAAACTACAGGCCCAATACCCTTTTAAAAACCGATTTTATTAGTTTGTGCTTCTATCTACAAAGCCCTCAACATCCTAGCTACATCTTATATTACAGATCTTACTGTTACATATTTTCCTATCAGAGCACTTTGCTCTCAGACTGCAGGCTTACTTGTGGTTCCTAGAGTTTCCAAAAGCAGAATGGGAGGAAGATCTTTCAGTTATCAGGCTCCTCTCTTGTGGAACCAACTTCCAGTTTATGTCTGTGAGACTGACACATTGTCCAGTTTTAAGACTTTCCTTTTTGATAAATCCTATAGTTAGGGTTGGCTTGTTATGCTGCTATAGGCTTAGACTACTGGAAGACAAATTAACCTAATTTCTTTAAATTAATTGTTAAAATTGAATAGTTTTCATTTGATACTACTTCTATCTTAACATGTGATTCTCAACCTGCCATTGTGTATCTGTTCCTCCTTCCTGTTTCTCTCAAACCCAGCCGGTCGAAGCAGATGGCCACTTGTCCTGAGCCTGGTTCTACTGAAGGTTTTGTCCTCCTGAGGGAGTTTTTCCTTTCCACTGTCGCCTTCATGCTTGCTCAAGATGAGAGTTCTGTGATGGAGTTAAATTCAAAGCAGTCTGCTCCTCAGATAAATAAAGTTATTAACTTACGTTTTATGTATATGAATGTTTCTGTTCAGTGCCCTGAGATAACTTATGCTGTGATTTGGCACTATATAAATAAATTGAATTGTGCAATTCTACTAACTTTAGCAAATAATTAGAGGACAAAAACTGTGCAAGAACATAGAACAATGAATATAAAATTCTCTATAGACGTTACTATGATCGCTCAGCATCTTCTAATCCTTCATAATTTAATATTATTAAGTCATCCATCTATAGATTCCCTAAAGTTGGGTTCAGACCCCACTGTGGGTCATAAAACACCAAGTGAGGGGTCTTGAGATAATTCCCCCCAAAACACAAATAAATAAATTAGAGTTAGACTAGTTAATAAGCCATTCAATTTTGTATATTAGCCATTGGCAATCTGATAACCTGTAAATTTAATGAACGGTAACAACAGACATTAGTTTTGTGACGATGGTTATAAGAAATAAAATAAAAAAATTGTAGTCCTGTCGTTATAAGTGGTTAAAAAAATGCTAATTGTGGTTGAGGATGTTTTGGCTGTCATTATATCCTTATTTGAGTTTTTAGCAATGTTTGTACACTTTAGCCTGCAGCAGTTTGAGTCATAAGTGGGAAAATATGGGAACTGCTGGTTTAAGGGACAGATTTGTTCATATACTGTATATTTTTGGCTACCAAGTGAAGCTGTCTCCAAAAAAAGAAGAGTCCCACGTCTGCCTGGACTTATCGAGCTGCTCTTGAGCAGAGTTTAAAAAGTACATTTCTATTTGTTTCTACAGTAAAAGCCGCGCTCGTCAGCAGTGCTGAGTAATAACGTCACTCAATCAGCACTCTCATTATCTATCCAACATGACTTCTTAATAAGGTCACGCTCCACCTCCTGAAAATAGTTCCCTCCTTTTGAGCTTTCTTCAGGTGCAAAGTGCAGTTAATTAACACAGCAGACTGGGAGAGATGCGCTCACTATTAATTGGAAAGAAAAAGAGGAGAGGAAAAAAAAAAGAGGAGAGAAAATAAAGCATGGGCTTAATTCAATTAAAACAGCCATAATGGCTTTCGTTGTAAGGCCCGAGGATTCCTTTGTTTGGTGGCTTTGTTGAATCCAGCAGGTCCTGCTTGTCTGGAAGTATTAAGCAGACCACAATGTGGCCTTTCTCTCATACAACTTTAAAAATAAAGTTTCACTGTGCAAGTCTTTGCAGTACAGTAAAACGACAAGCCGACTCGAAAAAGAACTTACTTGTATTTCAAGCTGCTGAACGACTTGCATCTGGACTCGACACTGAGCTGTGCTCCGGTCGTCGAGGGCGTGCTCGCTGTTTAGGTGCCTGAAGGGAGAAGACGTACAGTAAGAAAAAAGTTTTATAATACTTTAAATGTTAAAGGCTAAAAAAACAAAAAAACGACAGCTGATTGTACCGTATTTCTCGCCCTATAAGTTGCGGCTTTTTGCGTAATTTGCATGCCCTGTGACTTATACGCCGAAGCAACATATTTATGGATTTTTTCCTCATATATATAAACCAATTTTTGGCTGAGATATGACCGTTTTCATTCATTCTGACTGAAAATATTGAACACTACCATTTTCAGCCACTAGATGGCACTTTAGTATGGCATGCCATTGTATCATGTAATAGGTAAAAATGGCTATTAATGACACAATTGGAACCGGAAAAGGGTGGACTGCTCTCTTCAGGTCGAGGGTGAGGTTCTGCCTCAAGTGGAGGAGTTCAAGTATCTTGGGGTTTCGTTCACGAGTGAGGGTAGAATTGAGCGTGAGATTGACAGACGGATTGGCGCAGTGTCTGCAGTATTGCGTACTCTGTACTGGTCCGTTGTGGTGAAGAGAGAGCTGAGCTGTAAGGCAAAGCTCTCCGTTTACCGGTCGGTCTACGTTTCTATCCTCACCTATGGTCATGAACTCTGGGTAGTGACCGAAAGAATGAGATCGCAAATACAGGCAGTTGAAAAAAGTTTCCTCCACGGGGTAGCTGGACTCTCCCTTAGAGATAGGGTGAGAAGTTCAGTTATCCAGAAGAGACTCAGAGTAGAACAGTTGACTCGACACTGACACATCGAGAGGAGCCAGTTGAGGTGGTTCGGGCATTTGATAAGGATGCTCCCTGGGCGCTTATCTAGGGAGGTTCTTCGGGCATGTCTGACTAGGAGGAGACCCTGGGCAAGACCCAGGATACACTGGAGAGACTATGTCTCTCAGATGGCCTGGGAACACCTTGGAATCCTCCCAGAAGAACTGGAAGAGGTGGCTGTGGAAAGAGATGTCTGGGTCTCCCTGCTCAAGCTGCTGCCCCCACGACCAACTTTGGAATAAGCGGAAGATAATGGATGGATGGATGAATAGACACAATCGGCTTGCCATAGCCTGCCACCGTTGTCCAGCTTACTTGGAGCAATCGGCTTCATTTTGCTGTGCCTAACTGGCGAAATGCCGCTAATTTGACCATTAAAGTGCATTTATTGAATAAAAGTTCAACTGAGACACACCTTTACTATAATGTCAAGCAAACAATTGTTTTTAAGTGTTAATCTTGTTAAATTTCTCCCGTGCATGCTCCTGCGACCGCCATTTGGCAGTCAAGCGATTTTTGGCACAACACCGGCACACATATCCGGGTTGTCAGCGGTGACTCATAATAGATGCAACTTCTACAATCAAGAGACGTATCTATGGATTTTTCCACTTTATTAGACATATTTGGACTGATGGGACTTATAAGGTGGAGCGACGTGTACAGCAGAAAATAAAGTATTCATTTTTACCATGATCTAAAATGCAAAGGATGATAATTACAGTATCAGCCTCACCGTTTTTTTGTTTTTATGATAATATTTCTATACAGGGACAATTATCTATAGGATCCAGTTAAAAACCATTGTTCCACATCGAAATGAAATAATTAGAAGTTACATGACGGTGTGCGGTGCCACGTTTAACATGACAAAAGGCCCTGCGCCGGTTTAGATGGCTAACTTCAGTGCCACCCCGAGCGCCGCTTTCTTCTGAGAATAAAACGTGCTGGCCCAGCAGAACGGCTGCGTTGCCTCGATTTATGGAAAACAATACACACAATTTAACACCGCCAACATCTGATGCACAAAGGCAGCTCTTCAGTTGAAGGTGCATTATCCTGCTGCAGACATATTAAATATATCTGGTGTGTTCGCCTCATTAGAAGAAAAAGGCAGCCAGACAGCCATAACAGTCAATAACGAGTTTTTTTTTTTGGCTTGATTGGATTTCATCTGTAGGGACAAAAGCTCAACCATTAAGGTAGACCTTTCTTCCTGGGAAAGCACACAGCCGCTCAAACACAACTACGTGGCGAAAAGTGGCTCCTAAAGTGTTGTGATGCTGTGGGTAATGAGCCTCTGTCTAAATGATCATTGGAGACAAACTCACAAAGCAAGCTTTAAGGAGACATGCTCATGAAATGCCAGAGCTGCCACTTTATCTCCAGTAATTATAGGTTAGCTTGCAGACCCTTCAGTGATCATTTACAGCACAGCCTCCAGTGCATTAGAGGGAGTACAAAATCTCTTCCTCCCCGGCTTTCACTTTATCTAACGACACACGCACACCCTTCGCTTATGTTATCGGGAACTGGCACAAACACAGCTCGGTACACGCAGGGAACAAAAACACACACTCCCACCACGTTTTCCTTTACTCGTGTTTATCTGCAGCTCGCAAAACAAGACAACTCAATGAGCTGGTTTCCCCTCGGCCTGTCAATCAGAACATCTGTAATCACAATGTACCTTTCAATTAGACTTGCACTGCTTGTTTTTTTTTATCTGCAATTTCTGCTCTAATACTTTGGAAAGGTTCCTTATAAATCAAGAATAAGGTGTAAAAAAGGGAGAGGTGGGAAGAGGGATGGCCGTGGAGAGGGGTGGATTTCTTCAGCCCTGTGCCTAATTGCTGTTTCAGAATGTGCGTGCAAAAAGAGAGGGGTGGGAGTGGGGGGCATTTCATTAATCATTTAATCACGTCCCTCGCAGGATGAGGGAACTAATGTTGCAAATACCCTTTTCATTTCACTGCCTATAATGCTATCTTATGCACTTGATGTATGGCGTGTGTCATGAATTACAGCTGCTTCAAAAGCACAGAGATGGCTGCTCGCTGTCCCTGAAGATACCTCATTACAAAAAGGGAGGAGGGTGGGTGGAAGATGGGCAAAATCTTTATTAAGCTTGCATCTCATTGACAAGCAACTTGTTTCTTTTACATTTTTGTCAGCTTTTGTCCGCGAGGCCTCGCGAGCGTCCAGTTAAGAGCTCCGCGCATTCAATTTCACTGCTGGCCAGTTAGCGAGGCGATTACAGGAAGATTACTGCGTGCATTTATGAAATATTCAAATGGCAGCGTGTTCTACTGAGCATTAATAATGCCAAACAAAGACAGAAGTGGAGGAGGAGGGCAGAGGAACACGACAGAGAGGAAAAAAAAGCGATAATGAAAGAAAATCTTATTTACAGAAAATGGGAATAAAATATTGCTTTCGTGTCTGAATTAGGAAATGGGTTTTAATTACTAAAATTTTCTAATTATTACAGCCTATTTTTTGTCTTTTACACCTGAAGATTTTAATTACACAATAAACTTGAATTTACTGGTTTCTTGTTTGGATCATTTCTAGATCATCTGAAGAAGGACTTGACTTCAAAACAAAAGGGAGGAGTCAGAGGGACATGCCTGGTCCATTCACATAAGACAGACAAGGACTGTTTCAGTTTCAGGTTCCTGATGACGGTTATGGTTTATTCTAAAGGAGAATCGATTTTAGTCCTTCAGGAAGCTCCTCTTGTTATGAAAAGAACTGAAGGAAAACATGGAGATGAAACTTCAGAGATGCAGCAAAGGCATAGTTGTCGCAACAATTATATGTGAAGGGGTCGTGTCCCCCTCATATTTTAAAATTTTAAATATATTTGTTTGGACCCCCCCCCCCCCCACACACACACACACACACACACACACATTTACCATGAAATATTAGTTCACCCAGTAATATTTCTATATCTTCTTGAACAAATCCATTCCACTTGATTAATATGAGAATCCTCAAACCACTAAAAATCCACTCCTGGTTTTCCTGGTTACCACTACAACAACGCTCCGCACCGCATGCAGTGTTTTCCGAGGTCACTTGACGGGGCGGGGGGAAAAGGGGGGCCACACCTCTGTGTTGCGCACTAGCTTAGCGCCATGTTAATGCAGGCAGTTGTCAACCGAGGGGGGTTAGGATGCATGAGAGAAGCGGAGTGCTACATCTGTAGCATCTCAGCTAGCTAGCTACAGCTAGCATCTGTATTGTGTGCCGCTAGCTTAGCGCTACATTAGTGCCGGCAGTTGTCGACCGGGGGTGGAACATTGTGCCATGATCTCTAAAATAGTCATTGAATCAAGTGTTTACTTATGTAGGTAAACATAGATGTTTAACAACCTGTTAAAATACACCAGAATGCAGGAAATTGACATCTACTTAATTAAAAAATTTCTGGAGGAGGACCCCCCAGACTCCCCCCATTAGTGTGTCCCCCCCACATTACAAATGCTTCCGACATCAATAAGCCATGGTGACGGTATCGAAATGATTCGCAGTAGGGCTGCTGCAATTTTTCAACAGCGTATTCTTAGCTGACACTCATATTATTGGATTACATAATCTTCATCTTCATGTTTAAATGTTTTAAACATGTATCCCTCCACACTGCTGTTGTTTCCTGAAACCATCTGATCACCAGCAAACTGTTTATTTCCACTATGGGAGTTGGTGCTTGTGGGACTCCAGTTTGTTTGTAGCTCCTTGGACTGAAGAAGTCCTTTGGATGAAGGATGAAACATCTCATAAAAAAAAGTCCACATGACCTGACTGAACATTGTTGGGTTTGCACCTGGATTTTTGAGCATGAACTTTGGTATCCTGTCCTACAGTTTTGAACTATCATGGTGAAAATAAAAAGTCCACATCTGCTTCAGAGTTGTGATGGAACAAGTTATGAAACATTTTCAAAGGCTGACGGGGTCTAAAGTATTGGAGATCTTGAAGCTAGCCGACAATAAAACTGGTTTGTACGTTCTGCAAAGTTTCCTTGGCTTTCTACATCTGAGGAGTCGGCACAGAACTACCGAGGAGCGTCCAGGAAAAACAAAAAACTCTAAATGCACTTAAGATTTTCTGACTGCTACATTTTCACGAGAATAAATGTTTGAGGAAACGATTACTCTAGAATATGGCTTCATGCTTAACTGATCAACACTGGTTCTAACCGGTGTTGTGTTGAGTTTTCGTCCACC